CGCGAGGCCCCCGCCCCCCCCGCCACGAGCCCGTACCTCCAGGCGGGTCAGGGCCATGCGGACGCCCCTCGCCCGCCTCCCGTCAGCGGTGGGCAGCACCTCCTGGGGACTGCGCTGGAACTTCAGCCCCCACTCCCGGGGGGCTGCTGCCTGCGTCTTCTCCCCAGGCTTCTCCAGGGCTGTTTTGATCATCAGCTCAGTCAATCGCTTCCTGGGCCTAGGGGCATCTACAAAGAAAGAGAGAACTTCAGCTCCAGGACAGGAACCACAGCAAAAGCCCCTCGGGACACGGCACAGAGCTGAGGCCACGCCAAGGCAGTTTCAGTGGTGCGCGAGTGTCCATTCTGTCACGCCGATGGGAGTCCGAAGCCTCTGAGATGACAAGTCAAAGCAACCAGGAGAGCTCCTGAGGCTTGCGGCCAGTGGGACACACAAATCAAAGCCTGCAATTTTGCTGGTGCTCCAAGGCAGCAGCCTGTGGAGAAGAGCAAGTCTCTGGACACCCTGGATCTCAGCGTTTTCTTTTTAGCTCTGCAGGAAGCTCTTAAATCAACAGCCTTAGGATCTCTCCTGCAAGGTTCCCCCAGCCCTTCCCAATCTTCTGCCCTCATCACTCAGAGAGAAAGCAGCGAAGCAGCTGCACAGAGGCACAGGCTGCTCCCCTGCCTTCCCAGCCTCCTTGCACTCTGAGGACGAGCCACGTCATGGTCACTTGGCTTTCACATGCCATGCATTAAGCACAGAGGTTTTTCTGATGCACAGTCTGAGTAGTCTTGAGTCCAGATCACTCCTGGACGCTCGCCAGTCGAGGTGAGTCCCTGTCCGGAGGAGCACAGCACATTTCCCTCACCTTTAATAGCATTTTCGAGGCCTGTGAAGTCAGCAGGGTTCAGGACAGGTCTGGCACCAGGCAGGTTTATCATCTCCCGCAGCTCCTGGGAATTGCGGGCAGGAAGATGTTACCTCCAGCACGGGGAGGCTGCCCCACAGCCCCAGGCCCTTTTCCCCCACCAGTCCAGGCTAGAAGCCAGCAAATGGGTGCAGGAAGGAGGGCACCTGGGTTCCCCACCCATCCCTAGACCACCTCTCCCTGCCAGGGATGGGCAGCCTGGGGCTGAACGCTGGGAAACACGGCTGCCCTCCAGCACGCCCGGCCTTACCTTGATAGTGAAGGCCACTTGGAGAGGTCCCCTCCTCCCAACCAGCCAGACACGCTTCACCTTGCTGCAGGCGAGAGCTGCCAGGGAGCCGTCAGTGATGTCTGTCTTCTGCAAGGCAGAGGGGGGAGAGTGGGACGAGGGCAGATCTGGGGGGAAGGCACAGCCTCCGAAGGTGAAAAAGCAGCAGAAAAGCAGGCTGTGCATGCAGAGCTCCTGGGCAAGGCTGGAAAACAGACCACCTCCCTTTGCAGACAGCTGTTTGCACAGCTGGTCGCTCATCACTGACTGTACTTTCCGAGGCCACAAGGAGCCAGCACCCTGTGAGGCTGCCTCCGGGGATCCACCCAGGCAGGCTGACCTTGGGGCTAACGGAGCAAAGCCTTCCAGCGATCTCGATGTCGGGGTGCCTGCAGATGCTGCTAGGGGACTTCCCAGCTCAGGCTATACAGGCATTTGGGTGAAACCCACTGCAAACCACAGCTGAAATCACTGCTCGCCTGCCCTAGGCAGCTCCAAGCACAAACACAAGCATCACCAGAGCTCGACTGATGGTTGGCATCTTGCAGCAACCCCATGCTCTGTTTCAATCGCTGCCGTGTATCTAGACAGCAAGAAGATCTTCCCCAGAGAAGACACGACGGGAAGGACACCAGGTTACCAAGATAAACCACTCCAGCTCAATATTCTTAACAAGAAACTGCCTGCACACCCTGGCAGTCATTTCCAGTGCCACATGCTTCACAGCACTGCTTCCCAGCTGGTGTTAGCCACTGGCTGGCAGCGCCTCTAAGCTGTTCTGTTTTTTTTTTTTTAATTTATAAATTAATTTTGGG